AAAAAAAAAAAAAAAAAAAAAAAAAAACTATATTTTTTTTTTTTTATTGAACAGCAGTATTAGCTCATTTACCCCTGAAATTTCATATTAATGAACTATGCCAACCTTTGAATTGGAAGAGTTCAAATGTATCTTCAGGGGTAAATGAGTTAATTAATCTTGTTCAATCTTGATAACTTCATGAACATCATGAAGAAAAAATCTTAATTTGGTCTGTGCGAGCAGTAGGTCTTGGTCTAACATGTCCCTGAAAGAAAATTCATGTGTATTACTGTTTCTTTAATTGTAATTAGACAATACAGTAATATATTTCAAGATCAGAATTGGAGCCACCCACAGTTTTCAGGGGAGAGTGGGTGCACTTTTTTACTGTAACAACCATAGGCATTAGCCATTTAAATTTCTTGTACAGGTTTATTATTGAAAAAAGTGTATTACCTGATAATAAAATAATCTTGATTCACAGCAGAACAGGTTTTTCTATTTGTGGTTCCCCCTTACTGCTCTAAGTGTTTTGAATATTCTTTAAAGCAAACCTGGGATCAACTGTGCCTTACTTACATCATTGGGGGAAGGACTTTCTTATTACTTCAATACAAAATATTATCTTTTTGAAGAAGACAAAATGATTATTTAAAAAATGCTAAAAAATCACGATTATTTTGCTGCACTTTTTAGTGAGTCTGCTACAGCAACAGCAGGACCAGACGTCCGTCACCTGTCAGTCGGTAACTGACCACCAACAGAGACTGACTGACCGGGCGGGGGTTGTCAGTCAGCACAGCAGTGACCAGACTGACCTACACTCAGCATGGCTGGACAGAGTTCAAGAAGCTACAGCATCTACGCAAGTGAGTTGAAACACTGCCTATAGCTACTAGTAGTTATTATATTTAGTGGACTCTGTGTCAGAGTTTAACTCTCTTTTTTTGCATTTCTCCTTGAAAAAAAATTAGTTATAGATCATAAATATTGCTTTAGGATGACATCAAGATTTTCACCCTCATTCACAGAAACTTGTCATGTGTCAGGCTTTTAAAGGTATAAGATGATGAAATAGATGGATTTGACAGTCTGAATGAGTGAAAACCATGCACAATCTAGATATACAGTCAAACTTCAATGAATTAAACTTCTAAGATTCTAATTTGTCAAACTTACGGTTAAGTCCAGATGTTTTTCCTTGTATAACACTATACTTATATTCTATTCATGAATCAAACTTTTATGAGTCAAATTTCTCACTGTTTCGAAGTGTAACCAATGTCCGTTGGTTATGTTGACATTGAAAATTTCAACTACATTGTAATAAAACTAATAAGTGAAAAAAATACACCTCTACATTACAATTTACATTGAATGTAACAATAGGCCATTGTCAAAGAAAATTATATACACGACGACGTCTCTTGTTTTTCTTTGTTTGTACATGTCGTTGCTTACATACTTTTGGGTTATTGGTTCTTTAGATAAAAGGTTGCCATATAATTTGTTTTTCATTTTCATCTCGTGAAATCACTACAACAACTAGGTGACCAAACCTGGTGATGGACCACAGAGGCATGGAGCAATCCATGCCCCTGTGTGATGGACAACATTAACACGTGTACAGGCTACAGAAAGTTTGAAATATTGAAGTTTGACTCTATATATACCATTGTTTTGGTGAAAAACTTGACATTGTGACGAAAATTTGCAACAAAACAAACAGCATCTCTTTGATATATGTATACCTATAATTACTAAGAACAGATGTCCAAATGGTGCAATTGTCCATCCCTCCAATAAAAACTTGACATTGTGACAAGAATTCGCAGTTTGTTTATGAAACAAAACAAACAGTGCATCTCTTTGATATATGTATACCTATAATTACTAAGAACAGATGTTTGTAAATTTTAGTCAGAGCAAGCTGAAGCACTATCAGATTTCCAGACAAATGTGTTTGAGCCAGCTGTTCAGCATGCAGTGGACTCCAACAAAATCTCTGCCACCATCCTTCAGAGACAAATAGAACTTTTAAACGCTCAGGTTTGTAACTTTTATCCTGTTCTACAATAAAACCAGTATCTGACACCATCCTTCAGAGACAAATAGAACTTTTACACGCTCAGGTTTGTAACTTTTATCCTATTCTACAATAAAACCAGTATCTGACACCATCCTTCAGAGACAAATAGAACTTTTAAACGCTCAGGTTTGTAACTTTTATCCTGTTCTATAATAAAACCAGTATCTGACACCATCCTTCAGGGACAAATAGAACTTTTACATGCTCAGGTTTGTAACTTTTATCCTGTTCTACAATAAAACCAGTATCTGACACCATCCTTCAGACACAAATAGAACTTTTACACAGTCAGGTTTGTAACTTTTATCCTATTCTACAATAAAACCAGTATCTGACACCATCCTTCAGGGACAAATAGAACTTTTACACGCTCAGGTTTGTAACTTTTATCCTGTTCTACAATAAAACCAATATCTGACACCATCCTTCAGAGACAAATAGAACTTTTACACGCTCAGGTCTGTAACTTTTATCCTGTTCTATAATAAAACCAATATCTGACACCATCCTTCAGAGACAAATAGAACTTTTACACGCTCAGGTTTGTAACTTTTTTAATTTATTCGTTAATTTTATTAAACATCAAAAGGAAGTGATTATGGGCGGATTGGTCGAGTGGTTAACACTCTGGCCTGCCACGCAGGCGGCTGGGGTTCCATCCCCGAAGTCGTTGTACGCATGGATATTCAGAGAAAGTAATTTTCTCCTGCCCACACAAATTGGTCTGGGGTGGATATTGCGGTATCTGTGCTGTAGCATTCAAGTAAGGTGGCACTATAAATGATGCCGTTGGAAACACGGTCCCACTACAAACAGAACACATTACATCTCCAGCATATACGCAGGCATACACACATAGGGAGATATTAGCCAGGTGGCAAAGGACTAGTTATTAGCGCCTGATAAGGCAGCTCCTGCGAATTCCTCAAAATTGTATTGATTAATGTGTTTATGCTAATTGTATATCTATGTACTGTAAAGCGCTTTAGAGTGGCTTATGTTAGCTAGATAGCTAGGGAGCTATATCAAATGTTGTATATATTGATTATTAATTGTATATCTAAAAACTACTGTCATAAATATATGGTGAAGTTTTAGTGAAATTCTGATATTACCATGCAATAAATCTGTATTTTTGGCATGTGTTCCTATTTGATAATCTGTCTATCAAATGATACTGTGATAACATCATTTTTAACAAGTCCAACGGTTAGTTCGGGTGATTCACTAGTCCTTGCTGAAATCTGCTTGTCTCTGACTACAGGACTAGTGTTAGTGTCAAACCCTGAATTCTTCAGAGGCAAATAGAACTTTTACCAGCTCAGATTTGTAACTTTTAACTTACCATTTTGAGACATCTGCAATAGCTATAAGCTAGGGCTGCGATGATACAATGTTGCAAATAGACTTTTAGTTACAACGTACAAAATAAACCTTGGGCCGCGGTGGCCAAGTGGTTAAGGTGTCTGACATTCTGCTACCACTAGCCCTCGCAGGTTCGTGAGGTACATTGGGCAGTCGCCAGGTACTGGCCGTAGGTCTAGGTCGGTGGTTTTTCTCCGGGAACTGCGGCTTTCCTCCACCTCCAAAACCTTGCACGTCCTTAAATGACCATAGCTGTTAATAGGATGTAAAAAAACAAAAATTATGAACAAACCTTTAGTAATCCTGATGCTGTTTTGTTGTTTCAGAAAACTGAGCAAGAACAGATAGTGAACAAATTCATGTCCACAATCACAGCTGGCATGGAGAATCTGACCACACTGATGGGGGATTTCTTCACACAAATGACGGCTGACCTTGACGAGACGGAGAGGCAGACAGCGGAGGAAGAAAGACTGGATAAGGTGTGATATTTAACGAAGTTTTGTTTCCTAACTCGTTTTTGTACGGGATAAACTGGCTATTTATTTATCAAGCTTAACATGCTACAAGTGGGTGACATATGTTGATAGCATTTTCATTGGTTAATATTTGTATGGTTAAAGCAGAAGTTATGGTTTTGTCGAAAAGCTCTTCTTCTTCTTTTTATGTTATGTAAATTAGCACAAAACATCCAAATGCGATATAAAAAGATTGTGTATTATGGGAATTTCAAAGCAATTGCAAATGTGACAATTTCCACACTGCGATCATTTAGAAAAAGTAAACATTTCACGCATGAGACTTTGACAATAAATATAGGCCATGATGTTTATATGTACTGGATGTCCCGATGAATGCATTTGTTACAATAACATCATGATTCTGGGGGTTCAGAAATCGGAGGGAGTTGTATTGAAGAAGTAACTTTTAGAACATAACATGGGCGTGTCGGGGAGAAAAAGGTCCCCTTACTCTTGTTAATTGGTTATATCTTGATTATCAAACTTTCATTAGTCTATTAAAAAAAAAAAAACATGGGTTAAAGCATTTCTATTTGGAAAATTGAAAAATTAACCTTAGGTAATATGTAAGCAAATTTCGCTCATCAGACATGTGGACAAGCCATTCCTTGTTGGAAGAACCTCTACAGCTGTAGATAAGGAACCTTCATTTGTTGAAGAACCCCTACAGCTGTAGATAAGGAACCTTCATTTGTTGAAGAACCTCTACAGCTGTAGATAAGGAACCTTCATTTGTTGAAGAACCTCTACAGCTGTAGATAAGGAACCTTCATTTGTTGAAGAACCCCTACAGCTGTAGATAAGGAACCTTCATTTGTTGAAGAACCCCTACAGCTGTAGATAAGGAACCTTCATTTGTTGAAGAACCTCTACAGCTGTAGATAAGGAACCTTCATTTGTTGAAGAACCCCTACAGCTGTAGATAAGGAACCTTCATTTGTTGAAGAACCCCTACAGCTGTAGATAAGGAACCTTCATTTGTTGAAGAACCTCTACAGCTGTAGATAAGGAACCTTCATTTGTTGAAGAACCTCTACAGCTGTAGATAAGGAACCTTCATTTGTTGAAGAACCCCTACAGCTGTAGATAAGGAACCTTCATTTGTTGAAGAACCCCTACAGCTGTAGATAAGGAACCTTCATTTGTTAAGAACCTCTACAGCTGTAGATAAGGAACCTTCATTTGTTGAAGAACCCCTACAGCTGTAGATAAGGAACCTTCATTTGTTGAAGAACCTCTACAGCTGTAGATAAGGAACCTTCATTTGTTGAAGAACCCCTACAGCTGTAGATAAGGAACCTTCATTTGTTGAAGAACCTCTACAGCTGTAGATAAGGAACCTTCATTTGTTGAAGAACCCCTACAGCTGTAGATAAGGAACCTTCATTTGTTAAGAACCTCTACAGCTGTAGATAAGGAACCTTCATTTGTTGAAGAACCTCCTGCTTGTTTCACCCTGTTCTGTAATAACACATTTCTGAGGAATGGTTCACCTTCAACAACTTCCAACCATCTTCATTCCCAGCAGTTGTGTTCTCTTTAGGCCAAAAACAAACAATAAATCCTGTGTTTCTGCTAACCCTGCTAACCCCTGCTAACCCTGCTAACCCTGCTAACCCTGCTAACCCCTGCTAATCCTGCTAACCCTGCTAATCCTGCTAACCCTGCTAACCCCTGCTAACCCTGCTAACCCCTGCTAACCCTGCTAACCCCTGCTAACCCTGCCAACCCTGCTAACCCTGCTAACCCTGCTAACCCCTGCTAACCCCTGCTAACCCTGCCAACCCTGCCAACCCTGCTAACCCCTGCTAACCCCTGCTAACCCCTGCTAACCCTGCTAACCCTGCCTTCCCTAGATTTGTGTACCTACCCTACAGTTGTTATTGGCATTTACTGATATTCACTGTTAAAGTCAGAACTTCTGCTCTATATAAGCATACTGAAATATTTATAAAAATAAAATGCCTTAGTACCTACCTACCCTCTTTTTTCTGAGGATGATAGCGGAAACATAAGTATTTTTTTTGTTTGGCCTAAGCTTCAGATATATTGATATCAGATTTAAAAGTGTTGTCTTTAATTTTTCCCATGCTCAGGAACTGGAGGAAAAAATAATGCAGCACCAACAGAAACGTTTGGAACTGGTAAAACAGGTAAGGACTTATTGCTGTACAGTGTACTGAATGTAGAAGGATCACATTGTTTTATAATTACAAAGCTACAACAATACATGGTACATATCTACGGTGAAGGCCATCTTCTTCCGTGGTCGCTCTAGTTAGTTCACTGGTGCTTTTGCACAAGGATACATTTTACCCGTAAGCTCAAAATGGGACTGAGAATATGTTGTGGCATAATGTCCATCTATCTGTCTGTCCTTAATATTTTCTTTAAAGCTAACAGTGCAAGTTAAAAAGCGTTCAATTGAAATTTAAAAAAAATCAATTTCAAAACTTTTTTTCTGGTTTTGAGATCTTCCTATCTCTTTCGACTATCGTTTCTAAGGAAGTGCCGACATTTTGGTTTGTCCTTGCTTGGTAACAAATATAAGTCTGGCTGGGTATAAAAAGCGCATTACCTATCAAACTGGTCATCATTCTACAACTGACCATCTTGCGATTCAATGCACCACGTACCCTGATCAACAACCGGTATCAAAAATCAAACGCATTATGAACTCTTAGTCTTCATCATGAAGACGCTTTAGTAGCAAAACACGTTCAAAATGTGACACTCCCAGGTGTGTAGTTAACAATGTGAAATGTGATCATTGAACCGTATCGAAATGATTGGAATTAGTATTGTTTTCACACAGGAGGTTATAACTATTTGGATATCTAAAATGTAAGCATTAGCATTAGTCGTATGTTTGTTTCTTTCAGGGCCGTACTTTTTTTTTGGGGGGGGGGGGGGGGGGAGGCAGGGATTGTGCATTAAATATTTTAATTGGTCGTATTTTACTGCTATTCCCACTTTTCTTAGATAGATTATTTCTTCAACTGATCTGATAAAAAATGTTGGTAAAAAATGTTGGAATAATTTTTATATATATATATAGTATAGTAGTGTCAACTTACGCACACAATGAACAAATGATAACCGTTTTGACAGGTAATGCGCCAGAAATAAATTTAAAAAAATAAAAGTTAATCTGAATTGAAAGCTTTTTAACTTGCACCGTCAGCTTTAAGTTACTTCATCTGAACAACCAAGAGCCCTAGAATCACGATATTTGGCCAATAGCATGCTTTGTCAAATTTGTTTAAATGATTATTACAGGAGTCGAATAGGTTAAAACTCTTCTGAATAACTAAAGGGCATCAGGTCATATTGTGTCCGTAGCATGCTGGGATGAAGTGCTATCAAGCTTATTTCAATAAATGACCTAGACCCGACTACAAGGCCACAAGAGTCAAATGTGTCAAAAACTGGAAAAACATCTTCCAAAGTCCTAGGGTCATGGTATTTGGTCTGTAGCATGCTCGGGTAGAGAACTATCATTTTTGTACTATGGAATGATTTTGATACTCTTTGAAGGTTATATGGTCGATATTTTAATATTCCAACAAAATAAAGGAATAGAATATACTGATACTTAATGTATATATGGGTAGATAGCTTATTATCTAAATTGTTTGAGTAAATTTGACATTGACCAGGTAGGCAATACACATCCACAGTCCACACCCAATGGGCCTTTTGTTTACTGTATACTAAAATATCTATGCAGACAAAAGAAAATGACTTTTCGGAGAAGAAGTACTGAATTATGAGAAAATCTTTTGTTTTGTCACATTAAGTTGAAGATGACTTTTTTTGTTCGTTCTGACAGACAAGGAATCGTAAGCTATCCAGACAGCAGGCAGTGCGACAATTCCACGACACCTTAATAGGGTAAGTGTATATATATAAAGGTTTCTGTGTAAGTCCTTGTTGAGTGTGAACCTAATGTCAGTGTATGGTCCAGGTGTAAATACAATGTTTGGACTATTCGATCTATACATCCTTAGATGGAGATTTGCTATCACATCCTTAGATGGAGATTAGCTATCACATCCTTAGATGGAGATTAGCTATCACATCCTTAGATGGAGATTTGTTATCACATCCTTAGATGGAGATTTGCTATCACATCCTTAGATGGAGATTTGCTATCACATCCTTAGATGGAGATTTGCTATCACATCCTTAGATGGAGATTTGCTATCACATCCTTAGATGGAGATTTGCTATCACATCCTTAGATGGAGATTTGCTATCACATCCTTAGATGGAGATTTGCTATCACATCCTTAGATGGAGATTTGCTATCACATCCTTAGATGGAGATTTGCTATCACATCCTTAGATGGAGATTTGCTATCACATCCTTAGATGGAGATTTGCTATCACATCCTTAGATGGAGATTTGCTATCACATCCTTAGATGGAGATTTGCTATCACATCCTTAGATGGAGATTTGCTATCACATCCTTAGATGGAGATTTGCTATCACATCCTTAGATGGAGATTTGCTATCACATCCTTAGATGGAGATTTGCTATCACATCCTTAGATGGAGATTTGCTATCACATCCTTAGATGGAGATTTGCTATCACATCCTTAGATGGAGATTTGCTATCACATCCTTAGATGGAGATTTGCTATCACATCCTTAGATGGAGATTTGCTATCACATCCTTAGATGGAGATTTGCTATCACATCCTTAGATGGAGATTTGCTATCACATCCTTAGATGGAGATTTGCTATCACATCCTTAGATGGAGATTTGCTATCACATCCTTAGATGGAGATTTGCTATCACATCCTTAGATGGAGATTTGCTATCACATCCTTAGATGGAGATTTGCTATCACATCCTTAGATGGAGATTTGCTATCACATCCTTAGATGGAGATTTGCTATCACATCCTTAGATGGAGATTTGCTATCACATCCTTAGATGGAGATTTGCTATCACATCCTTAGATGGAGATTTGCTATCACATCCTTAGATGGAGATTTGCTATCACATCCTTAGATGGAGATTTGCTATCACATCCTTAGATGGAGATTTGCTATCACATCCTTAGATGGAGATTTGCTATCACATCCTTAGATGGAGATTTGCTATCACATCCTTAGATGGAGATTTGCTATCACATCCTTAGATGGAGATTTGCTATCACATCCTTAGATGGAGATTTGCTATCACATCCTTAGATGGAGATTTGCTATCACATCCTTAGATGGAGATTTGCTATCACATCCTTAGATGGAGATTTGCTATCACATCCTTAGATGGAGATTTGCTATCACATCCTTAGATGGAGATTTGCTATCACATCCTTAGATGGAGATTTGCTATCACATCCTTAGATGGAGATTTGCTATCACATCCTTAGATGGAGATTTGCTATCACATCCTTAGATGGAGATTTGCTATCACATCCTTAGATGGAGATTTGCTATCACATCCTTAGATGGAGATTTGCTATCACATCCTTAGATGGAGATTTGCTATCACATCCTTAGATGGAGATTTGCTATCACATCCTTAGATGGAGATTTGCTATCACATCCTTAGATGGAGATTTGCTATCACATCCTTAGATGGAGATTTGCTATCACATCCTTAGATGGAGATTTGCTATCACATCCTTAGATGGAGATTTGCTATCACATCCTTAGATGGAGATTTGCTATCACATCCTTAGATGGAGATTTGCTATCACATCCTTAGATGGAGATTTGCTATCACATCCTTAGATGGAGATTTGCTATCACATCCTTAGATGGAGATTTGCTATCACATCCTTAGATGGAGATTTGCTATCACATCCTTAGATGGAGATTTGCTATCACATCCTTAGATGGAGATTTGCTATCACATCCTTAGATGGAGATTTGCTATCACATCCTTAGATGGAGATTTGCTATCACATCCTTAGATGGAGATTTGCTATCACATCCTTAGATGGAGATTTGCTATCACATCCTTAGATGGAGATTTGCTATCACATCCTTAGATGGAGATTTGCTATCACATCCTTAGATGGAGATTTGCTATCACATCCTTAGATGGAGATTTGCTATCACATCCTTAGATGGAGATTTGCTATCACATCCTTAGATGGAGATTTGCTATCACATCCTTAGATGGAGATTTGCTATCACATCCTTAGATGGAGATTTGCTATCACATCCTTAGATGGAGATTTGTTATCACATCCTTAGATGGAGATTTGCTATCACATCCTTAGATGGAGATTTGCTATCACATCCTTAGATGGAGATTTGCTATCACATCCTTAGATGGAGATTTGCTATCACATCCTTAGATGGAGATTTGCTATCACATCCTTAGATGGAGATTTGCTATCACATCCTTAGATGGAGATTTGCTATCACATCCTTAGATGGAGATTTGCTATCACATCCTTAGATGGAGATTTGCTATCACATCCTTAGATGGAGATTTGCTATCACATCCTTAGATGGAGATTTGCTATCACATCCTTAGATGGAGATTTGCTATCACATCCTTAGATGGAGATTTGCTATCACATCCTTAGATGGAGATTTGCTATCACATCCTTAGATGGAGATTTGCTATCACATCCTTAGATGGAGATTTGCTATCACATCCTTAGATGGAGATTTGCTATCACATCCTTAGATGGAGATTTGCTATCACATCCTTAGATGGAGATTTGCTATCACATCCTTAGATGGAGATTTGCTATCACATCCTTAGATGGAGATTTGCTATCACATCCTTAGATGGAGATTTGCTATCACATCCTTAGATGGAGATTTGCTATCACATCCTTAGATGGAGATTTGCTATCACATCCTTAGATGGAGATTTGCTATCACATCCTTAGATGGAGATTTGCTATCACATCCTTAGATGGAGATTTGCTATCACATCCTTAGATGGAGATTTGCTATCACATCCTTAGATGGAGATTTGCTATCACATCCTTAGATGGAGATTTGCTATCACATCCTTAGATGGAGATTTGCTATCACATCCTTAGATGGAGATTTGCTATCACATCCTTAGATGGAGATTTGCTATCACATCCTTAGATGGAGATTTGCTATCACATCCTTAGATGGAGATTTGCTATCACATCCTTAGATGGAGATTTGCTATCACATCCTTAGATGGAGATTTGTTATCACATCCTTAGATGGAGATTTGCTATCACATCCTTAGATGGAGATTCGCTATCACATACTTAAATGGAGATTTGCTCTCACATCCTTAAATGGATATTTGTTATCACATCCTTAGATGGAGATTTGTTATCACATACTTAAATGGATATTTGCTCTCACATCCTCTGACAGAGATTTGCTCTCACATCCTTTGACAGAGATTTGCTCTCACATCCCCTGACAGAGATTTGCTCTCACATCCTTTGACAGAGATTTGCTCTCACATCCTTTGACAGAGATTTGCTCTCACATCCTTTGACAGAGATTTGCTCTCACATCCTCTGACAGAGATTTGCTCTCACATCTTCTGACAGAGATTTGCTATCACATCCTCTGACGGAGATTTGTTATCACATACTTAAATGGAGATTTGCTCCCACGGATATTTACACTTTTGATTTTACACCAAAATAGCATATCTAACATCATTTTATACAGCACATCTCCATTGTTTGATATCTAGCCGCCACAAGACTAACAATGATATCATTATTTACATTCCATTCAGAATGAAAACATCAATGATGTATGTGCCTGTGTCAAAATGTATATGCCAATATTCATACCATTTAATTGTGATTTTCATGCCATATCAAAAAAGTTTTGTATTCAGAGTGTGGCCTGGAAAAGCCTTGAATTTCTCTTTGGGCTTTAAAAATCTTTAAATCCTGATTGATAATATATTATAGTAAGAGGTTCACCCAGAGCTACTGCTAAAATGTATAGCCAAACCGTTACAGATTTCTTCATCATTGATTGATGTGAGAACACCAAGAAAACATTGGCTCTTGTCAATATTTTAACATGAATTGTTCATAAGGAGTATCTAACTATAATATGCAGGCTTTTATGACAAGATGATAAAAAAAAACACAAAAAAACTTTGTCACTAAACAGATTTTGATCAAACTTTGCACAAAGGTCAAGTATAAAAAATACCTTCAATGAGTTCCTGTTGTAATGCCACGGCCCAGTTCACCTTTATGACTTATTCATGTATACATTTGTCAGAAGTTGGCAATGACATCAAGTTAGCATGGATAAGAGGCATTCATGTCTTACAGACATTTGTACTGGACTTCATACCACATTACAAACAAAATAAAGTCATCGAAATTGACAATTATAACAAATGAGCACCTGCTGTCTCATCTTGCAGTAATCTACAGGAAGTGCAGACAGGAGCCGACCAGACAAAGCCAGAACTGATGGGAGTTGTAGCCTCTAACTGTACCAACAACCAGACTGACCTCTCACAGGTAAGGAGGGAGGGGGCAGTGTACATTCTGTAGGGTGTGTGTGACCTATATATATAACAACCAGACTGACCTCTCACAGGTAAGGAGGGAGGAGACAGTGTACATTCTGTAGGGTGTGTGTGACCTATATATATAACAACCAGACTTACCTCTCACAGCTAAGGAGGGAGGGGGCAGTGTACATTCTGTAGGGTGTGTGTGACCTATATATATAACAACCAGACTGACCTCTCACAGCTAAGGAGGGAGGGGGCAGTTTACATTCTGTAGGGTGTGTGTGACCTATATATATAACAACCAGAGTGACCTCTCACAGGTAAGGAGGGAGGGGGCAGTGTGCATTCTGTAGCATGTGTGACCTATATATATAACAACCAGAGTGACCTCTCACAGATAAGGACGGAGGGGACAGTGTACATTCTGTAGCGTGTGTGACCTATATATATAACAACCAGAGTGACCTCTCACAGGTAAGGATGGAGGGGACAGTGTACATTCTGTAGGGTATGTGTGACATATATACAACAACCAGAGTGACCTCTCACAGGTAAGGATGGAGGGGACAGTGTACATTCTGTAGCGAGTGTGAACTATATATATAACAACCAGACTGACCTCTCACAGGAAAGGATGGAGGGGACAGTGTACATTCTGTAGTGTGTGTGACCTATATATATAACAACCAGACTGACCTCTCACAGGAAAGGATGGAGGGGACAGTGTACATTCTGTAGCGAGTGTGAACTATATATATAACAACCAGACTGACCTCTCACAGGTAAGGATGGAGGGGTCAGTGTACATTCTGTAGGGTATGTGTGACATATATACAACAACCAGAGTGACCTCTAACAGGTAAGGATGGAGGGGACAGTGTACATTCTGTAGGGTATGTGCGACATATATACAACAACCAGAGTGACCTCTCACAGGTAAGGATGGAGGGGTCAGTGTACTTTCTGTAGCGTGTGTGACCTATATATATAACAACAAGACTGACCTCTCACAGGTAAGGATGGAGGGGACAGTGTACATTCTGTCGGGATGTTGACTTCATCTTCATTTTGAAACCCTCCTCGGTCAATATTGACGATTACGAAATAGTATCGTTGACCATTGACATATAACCATAAGTTACAAAAAAATGTACTACATTACATCATACTAAGTAACAGAAATATTTCTTCAGAATTTTTGCGCTGAAATTATTCCTATCTTATATATGCTGATTGTTTTGTAAAATTTGTCAATGTTGTGTGGCCAGGTGCTGACTGAGGTGGACAAGTCTACAGGGACGTGTGAGGACATTAGACAGAAAGTCAGAGAAATCAACAGCCACACCCAGCAGGTAAGTCCTCAACATTAAAATACTCCCAAACAAATTTTTGGGGGGGGGGGGGGGGGGGGATGAAATTTTCATGCAAGTTTACTGGTCAATAATGTGAAATATTATCTGCAGAATAATATGACAAGCGTATAACTGAACAGCAATAAACTTCACAGCCATAATGTCACCATGAAATTGCGCACATGTGTTTGTGACGATTCATATACATAAAGAGTAGTGATGTTTGAAAATAGGCTATATCACACATCTAGTAGTTTTGTTGATGATTTGTTTAAGGAAAAACCAGGATAATTTTGTAATAAAGCCTATTCATTTGACTATTTGACACTTAAGGTGGCTCCACACTTTCGCAATTAACCAGCAAAATTCGTTGAAACTTTCATATAATGGTTATGCAACTATGTAGAGTTAATTTTATGAAAATCTAAACATTCCGATAGTTTGGGGAATTTTTTGGAAAAAATACCAAAAAATTGAATTTTCGCCACTTTTAATATTTTCCGGTTTTTTTGTGTGTGGCATTGTTCGGAACAATAAAAACAATAAAAAAAATGAAAAGAAGCATTTATAATTAATCCTAAAAATATTTTATTTATCGCAAAATATGTAACACATGTTACACAAAGTGTTTTTTATTGAATTTGAACGGATAAAAGTGATTATCTACAAGCTAAAAGCAAACAGGACACACAGATCTATACATATAGAGTGAGAAATTGAACAAAATATACACAATGGCTTTATAATTAATTTATTTTACATTTTACAATCACTTTGATCCGGGTGAGAGTTATCTTCCTTGAAAAAAATCGGAACTTTTTGCAGAGGGATGACATTTACACAATGACAGTTGTCTCTGTTTACATATAACAAATGATGGAAATAAATCAAAAATATGATATCAAAATTATCAATTTATTGTTCTTTAATGGAACCAAATTACCCTCAGTCATGTACACTTTGGACATCATTCCACAGTCCGCTAACTCACGGTATATTTATAATTACATGTCAGGTACATATGTGACCAGAGGCTATCGCATGGTATGCCGTTCTCACGTGCCCTCACACATGCATTTCATAGGTATCTTGATATTTTACAAAACATTATTTTCACAGAGTAAGTAGACTACATTTGTAAACACGATTTAATCGACAGAGCGAAACTCCCTCAGCTTATGAACTCGTGTAAGCACGTGATATGCACATATGAGGTTGGTACGTCCGCATTCCATGTGTTTCCTATATGACCTTCTTGAGGTCGTCTGGTCTCATGTCACTGTCTTCCCGTGAGTCGTTTATGTCAATGAATTGGAAAGCTTTATTCCTGAAGTACGTGTGATTATACATTTCCCGGTAAAATCTCGATATCGGGTGTTGACATATCATCGGCACGCACGTGTACTACTGTTTACCAGGGGCCTGTTCGTTTATGCGGAACAACCGGTTTGACCGTTTATAAATGTAACAATTCCGGGTATATATCCTGGCGGACCTACAAATGTGTATGCAAGACTTGCAAGGCTTTCTCAAGGCTCGCCTGAAAGCAGCATCAGATAACTAGGTCTGACCTTATTTAATAAACGAACAACAGTGGTCCGATCGGTTTGACCGTTTAAACGCAAACGGCCCAGGTGCTACTATAATTTGCACTACGATATTGAATACCCGATACGCAAAACGGAAATGACGACATGGTGTACATGCACATTTCGATCAAGATAATTGAGTCCAGCTGTACTTTTTCCGGAAGTACGTCACGAAAATGGACGCTGATGACGATGTGTCGAGCCACCTTAATATGCCAAGTGTCCCGATGCTGTGCTAAGACACTACGGATATTTAGTACTTTCACTTGTCTAGATAGTGATATGATAATCTGTGTAAATTTTATTTTCTGATTTTGAGTCAAAATCGCGAAAAATTTATGACCGCGTAAATAACCCATTATACAGTATACTGTTTCCCAGATTGAATGGTGTTGATGGTCAGAGCAAACCAGACAGAGTTTATGGGAATTCTTGTTGTTAAACATTATCCTGAAAAGAAATTTTAGTTAATGACAAAAAACTCTTTATATATTAAATGGCTCACAAAAATAATAACTAGCCATGATAACAGTAATTTCAGGATTATCAGGAATTAGACGTTTTCTCCCTTTAACCTTGTCTTTAACATTATAGTATAAGTATTTATATGCCCCTACAGTAATACAACCCTATATAATTATTTATATTTTTATACAAGTACCTCTTTGTGTGTGGACAGGTTTGGGTGCAGCATCTAGCAACAATTACAGAGAGAACTGCTGAGCACAGGGAAGTGATACGATCAGGACAGGAACACCACAACACCTTAACACAGGTAAGATCTAGTGTTACAGACAGACACATCCAGACAGGTTATAACACAGGTAAGATCTAGTGTTACAGACATAGACATCTAGACAGGCTATAACACAGGTAAGATCTAGTGTTACAGACACAGACATCCAGACAGGCTATAACACAGGTAAGATCTAGTGTTACAGACACAGACATCCAGACAGGCTATAACACAGGTAAGATCTAGTGTTACAGACACAGACATCTAGACAGGCCATAACACAGGTAAGATCTAGTGTTACAGACACAGACATCTAGACAGGCCATAACACAGGTAAGATCTAGTGTTACAGACACAGACATCTAGACAGGCTATAACACAGGTAAGATCTAGTGTTACAGACACAGACATCTAGACAGGCTATAACACAGGTAAGATCTAGTGTTACAGACACAGACATCTAGACAGGCCATAACACAGGTAAGATCTAGTGTTACAGACACAGACATCTAGACAGGCTATAACACAGGTAAGATCTAGTGTTACAGACACAGACATCTAGACAGGCCATAACACAGGTAAGATCTAGTGTTACAGACACAGACATCTAGACAGGCTATAACACAGGTAAGATCTAGTGTTACAGACACAGACATCTAGACAGGCCATAACACAGGTAAGATCTAGTGTTACAGACACAGACATCTAGACAGGCTATAACACAGGTAAGATCTAGTGTTACAGACACAGACATCTAGACAGGCCATAACACAGGTAAGATCTAGTGTTACAGACACAGACATCTAGACAGGCCATAACACAGGTAAGATCTAGTGTTACAGACACAGACATCTAGACAGGCCATAACACAGGTAAGATCTAGTGTTACAGACACAGACATCTAGACAGGCCATAACACAGGTAAGATCTAGTGTTACAGACACAGACATCTAGACAGGCCATAACACAGGTAAGATCTAGTGTTACAGACACAGACATCTAGACAGGCCATAACACAGGTAAGATCTAGTGTTACAGACACAGACATCTAGACAGGCCATAACACAGGTAAGATCTAGTGTTACAGACACAGACATCTAGACAGGCCATAACACAGGTAAGATCTAGTGTTACAGACACAGACATCTAGACAGGCCATAACACAGGTAAGATCTAGTGTTACAGACACAGACATCTAGACAGGCCATAACACAGGTAAGATCTAGTGTTACAGACACAGACATCTAGACAGGCCATAACACAGGTAAGATCTAGTGTTACAGACACAGACATCTAGACAGGCCATAACACAGGTAAGATCTAGTGTTACAGACACAGACATCTAGACAGGCCATAACACAGGTAAGATCTAGTGTTACAGACACAGACATCTAGACAGGCCATAACACAGGTAAGATCTAGTGTTACAGACACAGACATCTAGACAGGCCATAACACAGGTAAGATCTAGTGTTACAGACACAGACATCTAGACAGGCCATAACACAGGTAAGATCTAGTGTTACAGACACAGACATCTAGACAGGCCATAACACAGGTAAGATCTAGTGTTACAGACACAGACATCTAGACAGGCCATAACACAGGTAAGATCTAGTGTTACAGACACAGACATCTAGACAGGCCATAACACAGGTAAGATCTAGTGTTACAGACACAGACATCTAGACAGGCCATAACACAGGTAAGATCTAGTGTTACAGACACAGACATCTAGACAGGCCATAACACAGGTAAGATCTAGTGTTACAGACACAGACATCTAGACAGGCCATAACACAGGTAAGATCTAGTGTTACAGACACAGACATCTAGACAGGCCATAACACAGGTAAGATCTAGTGTTACAGACACAGACATCTAGACAGGCCATAACACAGGTAAGATCTAGTGTTACAGACACAGACATCTAGACAGGCCATAACACAGGTAAGATCTAGTGTTACAGACACAGACATCTAGACAGGCCATAACACAGGTAAGATCTAGTGTTACAGACACAGACATCTAGACAGGCCATAACACAGGTAAGATCTAGTGTTACAGACACAGACATCTAGACAGGCCATAACACAGGTAAGATCTAGTGTTACAGACACAGACATCTAGACAGGCCATAACACAGGTAAGATCTAGTGTTACAGACACAGACATCTAGACAGGCCATAACACAGGTAAGATCTAGTGTTACAGACACAGACATCTAGACAGGCCATAACACAGGTAAGATCTAGTGTTACAGACACAGACATCTAGACAGGCCATAACACAGGTAAGATCTAGTGTTACAGACACAGACATCTAGACAGGCCATAACACAGGTAAGATCTAGTGTTACAGACACAGACATCTAGACAGGCCATAACACAGGTAAGATCTAGTGTTACAGACACAGACATCTAGACAGGCCATAACACAGGTAAGATCTAGTGTTACAGACACAGACATCTAGACAGGCCATAACACAGGTAAGATCTAGTGTTACAGACACAGACATCTAGACAGGCCATAACACAGGTAAGATCTAGTGTTACAGACACAGACATCTAGACAGGCCATAACACAGGTAAGATCTAGTGTTACAGACACAGACATCTAGACAGGCCATAACACAGGTAAGATCTAGTGTTACAGACACAGACATCTAGACAGGCCATAACACAGGTAAGATCTAGTGTTACAGACACAGACATCTAGACAGGCCATAACACAGGTAAGATCTAGTGTTACAGACACAGACATCTAGACAGGCCATAACACAGGTAAGATCTAGTGTTACAGACACAGACATCTAGACAGGCCATAACACAGGTAAGATCTAGTGTTACAGACACAGACATCTAGACAGGCCATAACACAGGTAAGATCTAGTGTTACAGACACAGACATCTAGACAGGCCATAACACAGGTAAGATCTAGTGTTACAGACACAGACATCTAGACAGGCCATAACACAGGTAAGATCTAGTGTTACAGACACAGACATCTAGACAGGCCATAACACAGGTAAGATCTAGTGTTACAGACACAGACATCTAGACAGGCCATAACACAGGTAAGATCTAGTGTTACAGACACAGACATCTAGACAGGCCATAACACAGGTAAGATCTAGTGTTACAGACACAGACATCTAGACAGGCCATAACACAGGTAAGATCTAGTGTTACAGACACAGACATCTAGACAGGCCATAACACAGGTAAGATCTAGTGTTACAGACACAGACATCTAGACAGGCCATAACACAGGTAAGATCTAGTGTTACAGACACAGACATCTAGACAGGCCATAACACAGGTAAGATCTAGTGTTACAGACACAGACATCTAGACAGGCCATAACACAGGTAAGATCTAGTGTTACAGACACAGACATCTAGACAGGCCATAACACAGGTAAGATCTAGTGTTACAGACACAGACATCTAGACAGGCCATAACACAGGTAAGATCTAGTGTTACAGACACAGACATCTAGACAGGCCATAACACAGGTAAGATCTAGTGTTACAGACACAGACATCTAGACAGGCCATAACACAGGTAAGATCTAGTGTTACAGACACAGACATCTAGACAGGCCATAACACAGGTAAGATCTAGTGTTACAGACACAGACATCTAGACAGGCCATAACACAGGTAAGATCTAGTGTTACAGACACAGACATCTAGACAGGCCATAACACAGGTAAGATCTAGTGTTACAGACACAGACATCTAGACAGGCCATAACACAGGTAAGATCTAGTGTTACAGACACAGACATCTAGACAGGCCATAACACAGGTAAGATCTAGTGTTACAGACACAGACATCTAGACAGGCCATAACACAGGTAAGATCTAGTGTTACAGACACAGACATCTAGACAGGCCATAACACAGGTAAGATCTAGTGTTACAGACACAGACATCTAGACAGGCCATAACACAGGTAAGATCTAGTGTTACAGACACAGACATCTAGACAGGCCATAACACAGGTAAGATCTAGTGTTACAGACACAGACATCTAGACAGGCCATAACACAGGTAAGATCTAGTGTTACAGACACAGACATCTAGACAGGCCATAACACAGGTAAGATCTAGTGTTACAGACACAGACATCTAGACAGGCCATAACACAGGTAAGATCTAGTGTTACAGACACAGACATCTAGACAGGCCATAACACAGGTAAGATCTAGTGTTACAGACACAGACATCTAGACAGGCCATAACACAGGTAAGATCTAGTGTTACAGACACAGACATCTAGACAGGCCATAACACAGGTAAGATCTAGTGTTACAGACACAGACATCTAGACAGGCCATAACACAGGTAAGATCTAGTGTTACAGACACAGACATCTAGACAGGCCATAACACAGGTAAGATCTAGTGTTACAGACACAGACATCTAGACAGGCCATAACACAGGTAAGATCTAGTGTTACAGACACAGACATCTAGACAGGCCATAACACAGGTAAGATCTAGTGTTACAGACACAGACATCTAGACAGGCCATAACACAGGTAAGATCTAGTGTTACAGACACAGACATCTAGACAGGCCATAACACAGGTAAGATCTAGTGTTACAGACACAGACATCTAGACAGGCCATAACACAGGTAAGATCTAGTGTTACAGACACAGACATCTAGACAGGCCATAACACAGGTAAGATCTAGTGTTACAGACACAGACATCTAGACAGGCCATAACACAGGTAAGATCTAGTGTTACAGACACAGACATCTAGACAGGCCATAACACAGGTAAGATCTAGTGTTACAGACACAGACATCTAGACAGGCCATAACACAGGTAAGATCTAGTGTTACAGACACAGACATCTAGACAGGCCATAACACAGGTAAGATCTAGTGTTACAGACACAGACATCTAGACAGGCCATAACACAGGTAAGATCTAGTGTTACAGACACAGACATCTAGACAGGCCATAACACAGGTAAGATCTAGTGTTACAGACACAGACATCTAGACAGGCCATAACACAGGTAAGATCTAGTGTTACAGACACAGACATCTAGACAGGCCATAACACAGGTAAGATCTAGTGTTACAGACACAGACATCTAGACAGGCCATAACACAGGTAAGATCTAGTGTTACAGACACAGACATCTAGACAGGCCATAACACAGGTAAGATCTAGTGTTACAGACACAGACATCTAGACAGGCCATAACACAGGTAAGATCTAGTGTTACAGACACAGACATCTTGACATGCCATAACACAGGTAAGATATAATGTTACAGACACTGACATCTAGACAGGCTATGACACAGGTAAGATCTAGTGTTACAGACACAGACATCTTGACATGCCATAACACAGGTAAGATATAATGTTCCAGACACTGACATCTAGCCAGGCCATAACACAGGTAAGATCTAGTGTTACTGACACACATCTAGACAGGCCCTAACACAGGTAAGATATAATGTTACAGACACTGGCATCTAGACAGGCCATAACACAGGTAAGATCTAGTGTTACAGACATATGCATCTAGACAGGATATAACACAGGTAACATTTTGGACAGTTTTTCCATGTTGTTGAAATAAAAAGATATGGAATGTTCTTGGGTTTTGCCAAGGACTGTCATTTCTTGTGTTGTTGTTTTTTAAAGTTAGGATTTAAAGTAATTTGTTGCAAAAGATAGAGCGTTACACTTTGACTAACATCACAATCACTTTTTTTAACAATTACAGATTCCCAAAATGGTACACCAATCACAGGCCCTGAAACCATTGTTTATATCTATTTATGTAGTGTTTTGATTTTTACAAATAATTTGAAAATGTTCTGGCAGTGTACCAATCTTGGTAGATTCCTGTTTTTGTAGCATCATGGCAGACTACAGAATTGATTTTCCGAAAGTCTGTATTTCCCTATTCCTCTTTCTATTGGGTGGATGGTCATGTTGTCATATCAACATTTTCTATTGGGTGGATTGTCATGTTGTCATATCAACATTTTCTATTTGGTGGATGGTCATGTTGTCATATCAACATTTTCTATTGGGTGGATGGTCATGTTGTCATATCAACATTTTCTATAAAAAATGTTGGCTTTTACATACAGACTCTGATCAAGGAGGGCCAAAGTCATACAGATAACCTGGTGTCCCAGCTGCAAGGAAACCTACAACAGTGGGTCGCCCACACCCAGGACAGACAGACAGACATGGACACACAGGCACAGTTAACTGCTGATTGGTCAAATAACTTGTCAGCTGACCTACAAAGACATTCACACGATGTGGAGGCTTTTCTGCACGAGGAACTAAGGAAAGACATCCCAACAGGTAGGATTGTTACAAAGATTTTGTAAAGAAATCATTTCTTCAATTTTACTTTACTGAAGTACTGTTATAATTTTAAGTCACCCACCAGTTCTGGAGGGGGGGACTATAGGTTTGCACTCTGTCCATCCGTTCGTTCAAAGAGTTGGAGCATATCTTTTTCACTATTTCACTTCGAATGACCTGATTTGGTATGCAAGTATGGCTTGGTTGGTGTTGAGAGAGTACAAGTAGTATGTCACTGTGAACTACATCCTGAAGTAGGTGCACAGCTCAGTAAATAAAGAAATCTTAACCGGTGGGGGACTATGGATTGTCTTGCAATATACTTTGCCTTGTTTATAGTCATCTTATAACATATATAATAGATCTCAACTTACATAAGGTTCACATAAGTATTGACATGTGCACATATTGACACCATGCGGAATTAAACAATTACTGTTCTGGAGACAATTCTGTCTCAGGAATTTGAACCAGGATACTAAAATCTCATTAAAGATAATTAGAAAAAAGTCTAACTGAAGTAAGATAAACATCCACTACTAAATGAAATGTCTCTAGCTTTACACAGGGGATACAGAGATGTCTAGATATACACAAGGGATACAGAGATATCTAGTTATACACATGGGATACAGAGATATATAGATATACAGGGGATACAGAGATATCTAGTTATACACAGGGGATACAGAGATATCTAGCTATACACAGGGGATACAGAGATGTCTAGCTATACACAGGGGATACAGAGATATCTAGTTATACACAGGGGATACAGAGATGTCTAGATATACAGGGGATACAGAGATATCTAGTTATACACAGGGGATACAGAGATATCTAGCTATACACAGGGGATACAGAGATGTCTAGCTATACACAGGGGATATAGAGATATCTAATTATACACATGGGATACAGAGATATCTAGTTATACACATGGGATACAGAGATATCTAGTAATACACAGGGGATACAGAGATATCTAGATATACAGGGGATACAGAGATATCTAGATATACACAGGGGATACAGAGATATCTAGATATACACAAGGGATACAGAGATGTCTAGATATACACAAGGGATACAGAGATATCTAGATATACAGGGGATATAGAGATATCTAGATATACAGGGAATACAGAGATATCTAGATATACAGGGAATACAGAGATATCTAGATATACACAGGGGATACAGAGATATCTAGCTATACACAAGGGATACAGAGATATCTAGCTATACACAGGGGATACAGAGATATCTAGATATACACAGGGGATACAGAGATATCTAGATATACAGGGGATACAGAGATATCTTGCTATACACAGGGGATACAGAGATGTCTAGCTATACACAGGGGATACAGAGATATCTAGTTATACACAGGGGATACAGAGATGTCTAGATATACACAAGGGATACAGAGATATCTAGTTATACACAGGGGATACAGAGATATATAGATATACAGGGGATACAGAGATATCTAGTTATACACAGGGGATACAGAGATATCTTGCTATACACAGGGGATACAGAGATGTCTAGCTATACACAGGGGATACAGAGATATCTAGTTATACACAGGGGATACAGAGATGTCTAGATATACACAAGGGATACAGAGATATCTAGTTATACACAGGGGATACAGAGATATATAGATATACAGGGGATACAGAGATATCTAGTTATACACAGGGGATACAGAGATATCTAGCTATACACAGGGGATACAGAGATGTCTAGCTATACACAGGGGATACAGAGATATCTAGTTATACACAGGGGATACAGAGATATATAGATATACAGGGGATACAGAGATATCTAGTTATACAGGGGATACAGAGATATCTAAATATACAGGGGATACAGAGATATCTAGTTATAAACAAGGGATACAGAGATATCTAGTTATACACAGGGGATACTGTCCGTCCACAAATTTTGTTCCTGACTGATAACTTTGGTATTTATTGACCGATGTACATGAAACTTGGTCAAGATGTTCAGTTCACAAAAATACACATTGAGGTAATAAGTCAAGGTCATTAGGTTCAAAGGTCAAGGTCGAATTTTACATCTTTTCACTGATCAACATTTTGTTATGACATTATGAAGCAAAGTTGATCAAAATTAAACAAGGAGTCAACTGACAAAAGTTCAAGGTCATCGGGTCAGAGGTCAAGGTCAAATTTTGTAGCTTTTCACTGGTGAACATTTTCGCTATGACATTATGGAGCAAAGTTGTTCGGAATTAAACAAAGAGACACACTGAGGTAAAAAGTCGAAGTCAAAGGTCAAGGTCATTAGATTCAAAGGTTAAGGTCAAATTTTGCACCTTTTCACTGATGAACATTTTGCTATGACATGATGAAGCAAAGTTGATCAGAATTAAACAAGGAGTCAACTGACCAAAGGTCAAGGTCATTGGGTCAAAGTTCAAGGTTAAATTTTGTATATTTTCACTGGTTAACATTTCGCTATGACATTTTGGAGCAATGTAGCTCAGTATTAAACAAGGAGTCAATTGACCAAAGGTCAAGGTCAAAGGTGAAGGTTAAATTTTGTACCTTTTTCTTGATGAACATTTTGTTATGACATTATGAAGCAATGTTGTTCAGAACTTAACACAGAGTCAACTGACCTTAGGTCCAGGTTATGGGGTCCAAAGGGTCAAGGTCAAGTTTTGTATTTTCACTGATGAACATTTTGTTATGATATTAAGAAGCAAAGTTGGTCGGAATTAAAGAATAAGTCAATTGACCAAAGATCAGGGTCACAGTGGGTTAATGGTCAAGGTCATTTGGGTCCAAAGGTCAAAGACAAAGTGGATCTCTGACTTTGACCCTGGCTCTTGATGGAGGAGGTATATAAGATGAAATAAAACAAATCAAAGCTAACAAATGAGTATTGCAACGGTATTTACATTTCTGTTAGCCCAGCAAATATGGAGGTGGAAGGAAACAAGACTCACGTCATAGTACATGTAAAATGTATATTTTGCTTCCTTGCGATTCTTTTTGAAGTCCAAATATCAAACGTCAAGCTCAGCTATATGGGCAGATTGCTTCTTGATGATTATGGGGGATATTGCCACAAGACGAGGCCCTTACTGACCTGTTAGTGTTCTAGTTATACACAGGGGATACAGATAATTGCTTTAGATTTCTATACATGAGAGTCAATGTTTCTTGTTTACAGGTAAAACTCCACAGAGAAGAAACATGACGTACCCGCTACAGCTGACAAAGACCTCTGAGCATGACATCTTACTCGACGACTTCAGAGCCGACTACGTCAGTGACCCACTTGTTACAGACCTAAGCAGTTCTCTGGACGCTGTGGCCGAGTCAAGTCAAGTTAGTAAGGTATATCAACCATCTGTTACTTATATACCTCAGACTGGTGGCCCTCGCCTTCTGTCTAATCAGTAGTCAAATTAGTAAGGTCAACCATCTGTATACTTTTTAGCCCACCATCATCTGATGGTGGACTATTTAAATCGCTCTGCGTCCGTGGTCTGTTGTCCGTCCGTCCGTCCGTCAGTCATCCGTCCTTAAACAATTCTTATCATCGCTATTTCTCAGAAAGTACAAAAGGGATCTTTCTCAAATTGTATATGTAGGTTCCCCTTGGTCCCTAGTTGTGCAGGGCAACTTTTGAGACTGATCAGATAAACAACATGGCCAACAGGCAGCCATCTTGGATTTTGATAGTGAATAAATAAATAAATAAATATACAACATTTGATATAGCGCTTTATCTAGCTAACATAAGCCACTCTAAAGCGCTTTACAGTACATAGATATACAATTTTATACAGTCAAGGTGAAGGTTTGTTATCGCTATTTCTCGGGAATTACCCAAGGGATCTTTCTCAAATTTCATATGTAGATTCCCCTTGGTCCCTAGTTAAGCAGGGCACCTTTTGAGACTGATGGGATAAACAACATGGCCGACAGGCAGCTATCTTGGATTTTGATAGTGAAGGTTTGTTATCGCTATTTCTCAGGAAGAACTGGAGGGATCTTTCCCAAGTTTGTTATGTAGGCTTTCCTAGGTCTTTAGTTGTGCATGTTTAATTTTGAGAATGATCAGATAAACAAAATGGCCGATAGGCCACCATCCTGGATTGTGACATTAAAGGTTTATCACTATTTCTCAGGAAGAACTGGAGGGTTCTTTCCCAAATTTGTTATGTAGGCTTCCCTAGGTCTGTAGTTGTGCATGTTTAATTTTGAGAATGATCAGAAAATCAAAATGTCCAACAGGCAGCCATCTTGGATTTTGACATTGACGGTTTGTTATCGCTATTTCTCTGGAAGTACTGGAGGGATCTTTTTCAAATTTGATATGTATGTTTTCCTTGGTCCTTCGTGTGCAGGTTACCTTTTGAGACTGATCAGATATAACAAAATGGCCTACAGTCAGCCATCTTTGATTTTGAAAGTGAATGTTTGTTATCGTTGTTTCTCAATAAGTGGTTGAGAGATCTTTCTCAAATCTTATATGTAGGTTTCCCTAGGTCCTTAGTTGTGCATATTTACTTTTGAGACTGATCAGATTAACAAAATGGCAGACAGGCAGTCATCTTGGATTTTGAAAATGAAGGTTTGTTATGGCTATTACTCAGGAAGCACTGAAGAGATCTTTCTGAAATTCTATATGCAGGTTCCCCACTATCCTTTATTGTTCATGTTTACTTTTGAAACTGATCAGATAAACAAAATGGCTGACCGACAGCCATCTTCGATTTTTGACATTGAAGGTTTGTTAGTACTATTTCTCAGGAATAACTTGAGGGATTTTTCTCAAAAGTTACCCCAAGGTGCATTTACTGTTAACATGACTTGATCAAACAGATTAGAGGAAAGAAGAGAAAAGATCGAACTGACAAAGAACTAATGAAGATGGTACCATGGTGGGTGCCAAGATCCTTCTGGGATCTCTTGTTTCACAATTAATGCAAGTCTGAATACTTCTGTTTTTAAAATTGTAATATTCAATTGTTTTTAAGCTGATTGTAGATCTAAAACAGCATATATCTTTTTTTTTAAATGTGAAAAAAACAGATTCATCATTTATTAAATGTTGAAATTATACTCTGGAAGCCTTTCTCTTTTCTTAGAGATTAAATTGTTCAATCTAAGCTGATGCTAGAAGAAATTTAGATTTATATTTAGATTTATATATTGTAAGTTCAGACTTATATTTTTCCTTTATTTAGTGATAGAGAAGTGTTTTACTATAAAAAAAATGTTGATTACAAATTCCTGATAATAACAAAGTCACCAACTTGTGTCTTGTGGCTAGGAACTGTCTAATAGGCATCAAACTCTGAAAGTATTTTCTTGGGTCCCCTAGGGTTTGTTACAATTGTGTTTTACTTGCACAAACCCCTGCAACGAAGTGGGGGGGGGGGGGGGGGGGCACTGGAATCACACTCACCCTCTGTCTTCTGTCCTCAAAATATTGTCTGGGCAAACTCCTCCTAAATTTGTTTTCACGGTTTTCAACTAAACTTAACAGATGTCATAAGTAACCCCTGATGTTGTGCATCAAGGTTTCATTTTGACCCTCTTTTATGGAGTTATGGCCCTTTGTTGAAAAATCCTTGTCCGGACAACTCTTCCAAAACTACTGGGCCAATTTCAAGGAAAGTTTACAGATATGGTAACTACCCCCTGATATTGTGTATTCGAGTAGTATTTTATTTTCATTTCGAAAGATCTGCTTTGTATTTATGTTGTGCACCTTGCTATAATTTATTCATTTTGTTTTCATTTCAATCCTTTTTAATTGAGGACAGATATTCCCTTTGTGCTAGTTGTGGGCTGTGGGAGGTATCTTTGTTAGCCTCTGGATAACAGTTCTAATTTATTTACAGAGGAGTGAGACGGAGGAGGTAGAATCTGCTCCTAGTGAGGTTGGCAGTGAATCTTCCTGTACGTCTGGGGTGTCCAGCTTTAGCAAAGCAAGTCGAGCGAGCAGCAAGGTAACAAGTGTTTGTATACAGCCAGACAACATTCACCCGTCTGTTTATGGGGAACAGTGGCATTTGTATCATCATAACACTATACAATGTGAATGATGTAAAAGTTCAAAGATTCGCTATTACATTACACCTTTGCATATATCCAAGTATACCTATAAATATTATACAAATATTTTGGTTTTGTTATTTCAATGTGTTAACAGAAAAACTGCCCATGTTCCTTTCAAAATAGGAAGCAGATGAAGGACTTTTCAAAAAGTGCCAAATAGTTTCTTTCGTATAATGTTGACTCGTACAAAAAGCACATGATAACGGCACTTAAGCTGACATGCCTTTTCAAAGATAGATACTTTCCAAGAAGAATTAGTAATTTAAACAGCTACTCTCATGAAGTACATTGACTGACTCCTATCTACAGAGAAGTATTAACATGCTCTACATTGTTTTATAGATGTCAAGTAAAGAAAACAAAACCAGGAAGCCAAAGTTGCCTTCTAAAGTGAAACAGAACAATGTTAACACAACTCCCAGAGGCAAGAGTCGTCTCCCTTTGAAATCTCACAACCCAACAGAGGCCTGATACAGCAATTCATACAAAATGTTTTCAGCAAAACAATATTTAATCTATCCAAGGTGTTTTAAAGTCTAAGATGATTTTTTTTTACATTTTATTTAATTTGTTTTTGTCCTATTCAGTGTTATTAACGACGACGGATTCGATTACAAAGACAATTGTTGTACACATCTCATACTGCTGGTTTTAAACAAATCTATTGTTCATTACACTAGGATTACCTTGCTCTACAGTGTATGTACTAGGGTACTGAATTAAATAGATCATCATACAGGGATAAGACATTTCCTTGTGTGGTCACTTCTGTACATTGTATGATCTGTAGTGTAACATCACTGAATTAAATGAATCACTGTTCAGGGGTGTGGAATTTGCTTTTATGGAACTCAAATGTGTGCAATTCTATGATTGGTAAATATTAAGTGTCTTAAAGCTTAAAAGACTGATGTTATTTTGAGACTGTCTGTTATCATTTCTAGGAAGTTTTATCATAAACTGAGTAAGCAGGGTTGACAGCCAATTTTTTTAATTAGACCCTTTGTTTTTTAAAAAAACATCTTGGCTTGTGTAGATAATAGGGGATATTTAATAGTTTCCTGCACAGGGGAAAAGGTCAGTATATTCTGGTTTAACGGGTGAAATATATATGGTATTCAATGGCAAAACCATTAAATTTTCTATAATTTGCGTTTTAAAACTATTTATGTTAAAAAAATTATTACATCAAATGGTTGGAGATGCAATACCAGTGACATCTCATTTCCTTTCTTATGACATCTTGCCATGTTTCACCTTTCATCATATTTCATCACTCATCACCTTACTACACATTTCATCTCATCACATTTCATCTCTCATCACATTTCATCTCTCATCACCTTTCATCACGACACTTTTCATCTCTCGTCACATTTCATCTCTCATCACATTTCATCACGTTTCATCACTTATAACATTTCATCTCTCATTACATTTCATCACTCATCACATTTTTCATCTCTCATCACATTTCATCACTCATCCCGTTTCATCACTCATTTAATTTTATCACACATCACATTTCATCTCTCATCACATTTCATCACTTATTACATTTCATCTCCAATCATGTTTCATCACTCATTACATTTCATCTTGCATCACATTTCATCTCATCACTCATTACATTTCATCTCAGATCACATTTCGTCACTCATCATATTTTATTACTCATCACAATTCATCTCTCATCACTCATTACATTTCATCTCAGATCATGTTTCATCACTCATCATATTTCATCTCACATCTCATTTCATCTCATGACTCATTATATTTCATCTCAGATCACATTTCATCACTCATCATAGTTTATTACTCATCACATTTCATCTCATCACATTTGGAAAGACCTGCAACGAAGTGGGGGGACTCATTACATTTCATCTCAGATCATGTTTCATCACTCATCACATTTCATCTCATGTTTCATCACTAATCACATGTTTCATCACTCATTTCATTTCATCTCTCATCACTCATTACATTTCATCTCTCATCACACATCACATTTCATCTCGCATCACATTTCATCACTCGTCATGTTTCATCACTATGTCACATTTCATCACTCAATACATTTCATCTCATGTTTCATCACTCATCATATTTCATCTCACATCTCATCACATTTCATCTCTCAACACTCATTACATTTCATCTCAGATCATGTTTCATCTCGCATCACATTTCAGCTCATGTTTCATCACTAATTACATGTTTCATCACTCATTTCATTTCATCTCTCATCACTCATTACATTTCATCTCAGATCACATTTCATCTCATCACTCATTACATTTCATCTCATCACACATCACATTTCATCTCGCATCACATTTCATCACTCGTCATGTTTCATCACTCATGTCACATTTCATCACTATACATTTCATCTCATGTATCATCACTCATCACAATTCATCACTAATCATATTTAATCTCACATCTCATTTCATTTCATCTCTCATCACTCATTACATTTCATCTCAGATCACATTTCATCACTCATCATATTTTATTACTCATCACATTTCATCTCTCATCACTGATAACATTTCATCACTCATCATATTTTATTACTCATCACATTTCATCTTATCACCTTTCATCTCATCACATTTCATCTCTCAACACTCATTACATTTCATCTCAGATCATGTTTCATCACTCATCACATTTCATATCACAATTCATCACTCATCATATTTCATCTCACATCTCATTTCATTTCATCTCATCACTCATTACATTTCATCTCAGATCACATTTCATCACTCATCATATTTTATTACTCATCACATTTCATCTCATCACATTTCATCTCTCAACACTCATTACATTTCATCTCAGATCATGTTTCATCTCGCATCACATTTCAGCTCATGTTTCATCACTAATTACATGTTTCATCACTCATTTCATTTCATCTCTCATCACTCATTACATTTCATCTCAGATCACATTTCATCTCATCACTCATTACATTTGATCTCTCATCACACATCACATTTCATCACTTGTCCTGTTTCATCACTCATGTCACATTTCATCACTCAATATATTTCATCTCATGTTTCATCACTAATCACATGTTTCATCACTCATCACAATTCATCACTCATCATATTTCATCTCACATCTCATTTCATTTCATCTCTCATAACTCATTACATTTCATCTCAGATCACATTTCATCACTCATCATATTTTATTACTCATCACATTTCATCTCTCATCACTCATTGCATTTCATCTCATATCATGTTTCATCACTTATCACATGTTTCATTACTCATCATATTTCATCTTACACCTCATTTCATCTCATCACTCATTACATTTCATCTCAGATCACATTTCATCTCTCATCACTCATTACATTTCATCTCAGATCATGTTTCATCACTAATCACATGTTTCATCTCTCATTACATTTCATCACTCATCATATTTTATTATTCATCACATTTCATCTCATCACTCATTACATTTCATCTCAGATCATGTTTCATCACTAATCACATGTTTCATCACTCATCATAATTCATCACTCATCATATTTCATCTCATTTCATTTCATTTCATCTCAGATCACATTTCATCACTCATCATATTTTATTACTCATCACATTTCATCTCATCACATTTCATTTCTCATCACTCATTACATTTCATCTCAGATCATGTTTCATCACTCATCACATTTCATCTCGCATCACATTTCATCTCGCATCACATTTCATCTCGCATCACATTTCATCACTCATTATATTTCATCTCATCTCATCTCTCATCACTCATTTCATTTCATCTCACATCACATTTCATCACTCGTCATATTTCATCTCATTACATTTCATCTCAGATCACATTTCTTCTTTCATTACAGTTCATCACATCTCATCACTCGTCACCTTTCATCACGTCGCTTTTCATCTCTCGTCACATTTCAAGCCTCATCATCATATTTCACCCCTCATCATATTTCATCCCTCATCATGTTTCACTCCTCATCATATTTCATCCCTCATCATGTTTCACTCCTCATCATATTTCATCCCACATCATATTTCATCCCACATCATATTTCACTCCTCATCCTGTTTCACCCTACATCATATTTCACCCCACCTAATATTCACCCCATTTCATTATTCATCCCTCACCATCTTACTGTCCTCATAATGTTTCACCCAACATCATATTTCACTCCTCATAATGTTTCACTCCTCATAATGTTTCACTCCTCATTATGTTTCACTCCTCATAATGTTTCACTCCTCATAATGTTTCACTCTTCATAATATTCACCCCGTTTCATAAGTCATCCCTCATCTTACTCTCCTCATAATGTTTCACCCCACATCATATGTCATCCCTCATCATATTTCACTCATCATATTTCATCCCACTTCATATTTCATCCCTCATTATATTTCGCCCCACATCATAATTCATACCTCATCATGTTTCATCCCTCATTATGTTTCACTCCTCATAATATTCATCCCGTTTCATAAGTCACCCCTCATCATCTTACTCTCCTCATAATGTTTCACTCCTCATCATGTTTCACTCCTCATAATGTTTCACTCCTCATCATATTTCATCCCACATCATATTCACTTATCGTCATGTTTCACCCTACATCATATTTTGCCTCACATCATGTTTCATCCCTCATCATGTTTCACTCCTCATCATATTTCACCCTACATCATATTTCATCCCTCATCATATTTCACTCCTCATCATATTTCATCCAACTTCATATTTCATCCCTCATTATATTTCACCCCATTTCATTATTCACCCCTCACCATCTTACTCTGCTCATCATGTTTCACTCCTCATCATATTTCACCCTACATCATATTTCATCCCACATCATATTTCACTCCTCATCCCACCCTACATCATATTTCGCCCCACATAATATTCACCCCGTTTCATAATTCACCCCTCACCATCTTACTCTCCTCATCATGTTTCACCCCACATCATATTTCATGGCCCCTATCTCGTAATGTTTTTTGGTCAAAGATTATACTAAGGTGGAGAATGATAAAGTCCCACTGTCAATGACAAGGTCACCAGTTTACTGACTTAAGGGGCAAGGGAGCCTCCATGTCATCAGACATTTTATTTTTTCCGTTATAAAGCTTCATCCTTAGCATTTATTATTACTGTGAAGACCTAAAACCTCAAAACAAGCAAACATGGACGGTTGAGCCCTGCTGTTGTATCTGATTTTACTTACCTCCGGTGCCCGTCCAAGTGATCTTGTATCGTATCAGTTTATGCTTGTCGATAACCTGTCGCTTCATTGTGTTATCTGCTTCATACTTCATACTTTCGTTGTACTACATAAGTATGTTGTTAAAATAAATTCTGACCCATTCTCATGTTCTCTCTTATTGCTTGTATTTTATGCTTTTAAGAGAATATATGTAAGAGTATTTTAACTTGTATAGATAAGGTGTTTGTAAGACACAGAATTTAAACGTATTTATTGAACCTGATTTTTTCAGATTGTACAAGTACTTTTACATGTCTATACAATGTATATTATTGACATTATATTTCTGCATAATGTGTTATGCTGTTTTCCTAATACACAAATGTGGCCCAGTCACTTCCCTCAATACAGTACCGCAGTAACTCAGGCCCAGTCACTTCCCTCAATACAGTACTACAGTAACTCAGGCCCCAGTCACTTCCCTCAATACAGTACTACAGTAACTCAGGCCCCAGTCACTTCCCTCAATACAGTTACTCAGAAACTCAGGCCCCAGTCACTTCCCTCAATACAGTTACTCAGAAACTCAGGCCCCAGTCACTTCCCTCTATACAGTACTACAGTAACACAGGCCCAGTCACTTCCCTCAATACAGTACCACAGTAACTCAGGCCCAGTCACTTCCCTCAATAAGGTACCACAGTAACACTGGCCCAGTCACTTCCCTCAATACGGTACCACAGTTACTCAAACTCAGTCACTTCCCTCAATACAGTACCTCCGTAACTCAAGCCTAATCCCTTTCATCAGTAAATCAGAGAAAGCAATTATTCATGATAAACCATAAATATTTGCGGTATCAATGTATTCATAATCAGTTTATTTTCTTGGCCTGTTATGCATGTTCTTGGGGAAATGCAAAATTTGCATGTTTACCTTTACATTGTCATATTTTGGTCTATTCCATTCGACATGAGATTTTGGATGTAGCCATGAACTGTATAAATGATGTAATTATCAGGTACATCAGCTACTGTTGTCTGTTTGTTGTTCTTCTTTCAATATCAAGGGTTTCCTTTAATGAAAACCCTGTAGCATTAACAGATCCTGATTTATACCATATAGAAATAAAAATCTCTTAAAAACCAGATAGTCGTTTGTGTGATTGTTTCATGCTCTTGACGGGACGTCCAGATTTACGG